GAGAAAGTACTCTATTAGAAATGATAGTTGTTAGATTAGCCACCATCTGCTTATGTTAACCCTCTTCCTCAAATTGTGCCATCCAAAGATTTTTCTTAAAAAAGTCTTAGATTTATAAAGGAAGCAATGGGTAGAAAGGCGTTCTGCTCTATGCCTTTCCCACAGGCACATGTAGTCTGGGAAGCTGGGAGTCTGAGCGGAGTCATATTTCTATCATATTCTTCCATTTTTCTAGACAAAGAAAGGATTTAAAATTTACATGGTGGGAGGCAATCTCACTGTTACTTCTGATATCATGTTTTCTCATTTCTTTACATGGAATTATTTTTGAATGGAAATGATTGCTTCCACCAAGAGATGCCAGTAAGTCACATAGAGCCATTGAGGCCCACATAAGGGTTAAACTTCCATTGATTCTAGTTCCTTCCTCAGTTTTCCTTCTTTGTCCTCTTGAGGTGTTATTGATTTAGTTATTTGACTGGTCTTGGTCTCCCCTCTACTGGTGGCTGGACAGTAAGGGGCAGGCAAATGCACAGCCTACACTTGCAGTGCTCCCAAATGAACTCAGTTATACCAAGGAGTTACAGTTGTTTAAATGTTGGTTAAGTTTGGCTTCTTCCTTCTAGAAAAAAAAGTGAAGAAGTCGGACTGTGGGGAGTGGCAGTGGAGTGTGTGTGTGCCCACCAGTGGAGACTGTGGACTGGGCACCCGGGAGGGCTCTCGTACCGGAGCCGAGTGCAAGCAAACCATGAAGACCCAGAGATGCAAGATCCCCTGCAACTGGAAGAAGCAATTCGGAGGTAGCTGTCACCCTGTCCTATTGACTCGGCTTCCCACTCTGAGATAATTCAGCATCATTTCCACTAGGTGTCCTCTTGGAATCTATTCTGCTTATTTTATATTTCATTTTGTCAGACGGAAGGTCACCAGGCACTTTATCTCACCCCAGCATTTCCCAACTTCAGCACTGGTGACGTTTTGGGCCACATAAGTTTCTGTCTTCTGTGCAGTAGCATATTTGGCACCATCCCTAGTTTCTGTGCACTAGTTTCCACTAATCCTCTCACCCATGTGAGCTGTGAAAGCTAAGAATATTTCTGCTATTTATAGTCAAATGTCCCCTGGGTGTAAAAACCATCCAGGATGGAGAACCACTACATAGTAGAGACATAAATTTTGCATGGAATTCCTCCCAGTAATGTTCTTTTGTTTGTGTTCTTTCCCTTTTCTTTCTGCTGTTTCCAAATTCCTTTTCTTTTCTACTTTTCTCATTCTTGTTATCTGTGTCACTTTCCAGCCCCCTCTTTTGTTTCCTCCCACCGTCCCATCTACACACATGCATGGATCTGCTTGTTCACTTCAGCAGGCAACTGGAGGGTGGGTATCAATAGCTATTTCTGAGAGATTTCTGTCACTGACCCTGGCAACCTCATGCTGATCTGGTCTCTCTACTGATGAGAAGTTCTCTGAAAACTTTCAACTTTTAAATCAGTATTAAACCTCAGATAAGCTTTTCTCCTACATTTTTGTCTTTTTGCCTTTCTTGGTCATGCTAGAACATTATACCCTAAGATGTTGTCCCTCTGTTATAAAGAAGAGCATTATGGCCTGACAGTGGGTGAAACAGGGCTGTGATTATGCCCATATAATTTTTTTCCATGCTTTCGACCTTTGGGGTATGTTTCTGAGTGACAGTAAGTGTTATGAAGCTACAGTAAAGTCTGGATACATTTGCTCCTATATTGTATATAGGCAATTCTTTGCGATTCACCTATACAAGGTTTTTATGATGAGTCTTAAAATATTCAGTCTGGAATCTATAAGTAATTTTCAAAACTCTGTAGTAAAAAAAGTCCAGTAAGATAGTAGGCTCGACACATTTTACTAAAGAGCATCTGTAGCAGTGGTGGTAAAACTATGGCATATGTGTCACGGCGGGCTGTTTGTTATCATTGAAAACTCTACAAGATTCTCTATCACTGATCTACAGAAAGCAAATGAATGTGTAAAAGGATTTTCAACTTATTTTCCTCATGAGTGAAATGGAAAGTAAACTTCTAATAGAATTACTATAAGCCTACCATAGTGGCTAGACAAGAATGTGATAGATTGCATCTCTCCTAAATTACTGGAGGTATACAAAGGTACAGCAGCAATCTTGGAAATGAGAATGTCAGTATTTTACAGAACTAGACCTGAGTTACTACGCAACACAACACTTTCTTGGACATTTATCTCAGAGCATAGAAACATACATTCCCATAAAAACCCATACATGAGTATAGATAGTAGTTTCAATTGTTATACTCAGAAACTAGCAAGAACCTGTTATAGTTTAAAAATTGTGGCATATCCGTGTCATGGAATAGCCCTCACACACAAAAACGAATGACTATTGATATAATTCGTATGGATGACTCTGTAGGAAATTGTTCTAAGTTAAAAGTTGCTAACATCAAAAGTTCAATACAGTTTAATTCCATTCATACGATGTCTTACGATGGAATTATAGATGGAGATCAGTGTTTCAGATGACATGAATGAAGGAGGCAGGAAGACCGATGGAAAAGATAAACCTTGTGCCCCTTGTGTTGTGAGGGGTCTGGATACTGCTGACAATGATCATGTGCTTGAACACATGATAAACTGTGCAGAACCAATGTGCCTCCTGATGCACAAATGCGTGCATACAAAGTGACCCAATCTCAACAAGCCCTTGGAATGTGTTCATGTCAACTTGATGGTGGATGTAATGGGACAATAACTGAGCAAGACACCACACCTGGCTGGGAGTAGAGGGTGAAGAGTATATGGGATATCTCTGTTATTTTCTGTAACTCCATGAAAATCTATAATTATCCAGATCTAAAAAGTTAGTAAAGAAAGGGCTCCTTTATCAGAGCGGCGTGACTGTAGACTATCTGAAGGATTTCTCTCTTGACTTTAGCGGAGTGCAAATACCAGTTCCAGGCCTGGGGAGAGTGTGACTTGAATACAGCCCTGAAGACCAGAACTGGGAGTCTGAAGCGCGCCCTCCACAATGCCGACTGCCAGAAGACGGTCACCATCTCCAAGCCCTGTGGCAAACTGACCAAGTCCAAGCCTCAAGGTGGGCCCGGCCGTTATTCCACAATGCGTATGGGACTGTGGGCTTCTGCAGAATGAGGAAACCCATGTA